GGTGACTCTGATGTGGAGATGATTTCTATGTGATTGTCACAGGAGCACTCTTGTACGTTTATATAATTTTTTATAATAAGTGAATGGGAGTATTCAGTTGGGATGACGTTCAGTTTCGAAATTCTACCTAAGATGTCAGGCAATCTAACTACTGAGACATAACATCTACGATAAACATGTCAAAACAAAATTCAATTACAAAGAACACTACAACGCAAACATCCACGTCAATCACATTACATTCAACTTTACACTATACTTGAAGGAAATAAATCATGGTTGGAGAGGCTTATAGTGATACATTTTTATTTAGAATAATTCAACTTACCCTGTCAAAATATTTCCAATTCGCTAAATTTTTCAAAAATTCAAATCGAGCTTCCAATTTCTGTGTTTTACTTTGAATGATCTATATTTGCTTATAAGTTAAAATAATAAATGTAACTTACTGATTTAATGAAGTCATAAGGATTATATCTTTCAGATATATACTGCAGGAAAATGCTACATAAATCGAGTACATCTGGTGATGAATAACAGTTGGTCAACTTTATAAGAATCTAAAGTCAAGAAATAGGAAATTATAGATTTGTACATGACAAATAAATTTAAAAGAGGACGAAATATACACTGAGAAGAACCTAGGATTTAAACCAATAGTATGCATAGGTCCTACGATCCGGCCGAAACCGACAGAGTATAAATCTAGATAAGATTATCGGTTATCATGGGATAACTTCTTCTGAGGATGCTCTACTTTTTAGTAGATTAGACCTGTAGGTCGAAGCTTCGAGAAGTGATTTAAGAAAGCTCCCTGCTTTAATCTAGGTCTTTAGACAACATCATAGCCCGCGCACCAATATGAAAACCAAAAGCTTACATCCACTTTCACTCTCTATATGAATGATATTTACAACTACAGTCACATAAGAATTAATGTTGCTTCCTTATCTTTATATTTAATTGTCCTTACTTTTATTTTCCATCTAAGACGAAAACTTAATGGAGCTGGAAATTTTATGCGATCCAAACGAAGTGAAGTCATTGACTACTAAAAAGTTTGAACGCTACCACCGAACACGAACTGGCAATTAGGCTTTCTGAAACGGTTACCATTCAAGCTGATCGTTTTAAACGTTGCAACCCTAATGTAGTTCAAACAACAGATAAATTTAGGTTAGAGTTTGAAAACATTTACATTGATATCTACTAAATATTCAAGACCCGTATCCAAGACTAGTGGTATGTTACAAATTCGTTTACTATCCTTCGATTAAAAGTCCGTTTGTTAATCTGTTCATGATGTTGATGGTGTCATACTAATCTGTGATCAGATCGATTTGTGCTGTCTCTTTTCTAGAGCATAGTGCGAAGCCAACGTCAGTGAAACAGAATATGTCACAGCATGTATGTATAACCCAACATGGGAAAAACTTTGCACACAAATGGATGACCCACAAATGTCATGATTAGACCAAAAATTTAAGGAATTTACTGTCCCTTTCGAAATGATCTTGTGGTGCGAGCTACTTATAAGTAGTATATGACGTGAGTGTCAACGTAATGTCTGACAGCAGAATATGGGGGAAGATCAAGAAAGGAAGAGTTAGAACACAATGGAATTTGTATGAAACGCATGAATAGTGAAATGTCAGAAAATAGATTGATGATGGATTGAAGATTTGCAAATTAACGAATAACAAACTTACATTACTTTGTTGGTCTTAAATAAGGGTCTCGGACAGATGCGACAGTTTAAATTATTAGATATCAGATATGTTATCTGACTAACTTGATTAGACAGCTAGTAGGTTGTTTTAAAACGATTAACCAAAGCTATGGATCGAAATAACGTTTACTGGTGCACAGTATAATAATTAAAGTGCGTGAAGAAAAAACTACCAGGCAAAAAAGAAAACTAACCTCTCCAATATTTTCTTCAAATGAAGACATAAATTCTGATTTCGCGATTGACTGAAGAAAACTAGTCAAGAGCGTAAGATATTTACAAAAATGCTGGGGGTTGTGAGCAGCTGATAAGCTCTGACATTGACGAGTAAAATATTGGATAATATAACTTATTTGTTCAGAAGATGGATTTCGCTTCATCAACTGTGAAAGGGAATAACTGACAGCAGTGATGCCTTTCGAGACTGGACAGAAATCGTCCGACGAGCTTATTGTTTTCATGGAGGCATTGCTAAAAGCTGGTGAGGAGTCTTTGTTTTTGTCACTATCACAGAGAAACTGTACAGGTTGTTTAATATCACCGTCAGAGTTAAACAACGAATCTAATAAACAAGGAAGAATCTAACAAACTTAAGCTGTGTAACAAGTATTACCTCCAAAGAAGTTGTATGCACTTTTTCACCAACACCTGACAAAATTTCTGCTAATACAATTCCAAGGCACTAGATATGATATTTATAAATTACATAATTTAAACAAACCTCAGAATCTTGAATCATTTCATCCAAAATATGAAACAATGCAATTTTATCTTCAAACTTTCTGAACAAGAAAGCTAAGCACTCAGCTGTAAACCTTGGAATTTCTGTCGAATGGTGAGACAGTAATGGTAGAAAACATCTTAAATAAGTGATAGACTAAAAAGTGGTAGGTACTTTAAAATTTTCCGGATGTTTTTAACCATTGATCGATGTAAAAAGTAAACCAAATGTGACAAGCAGTTGAAACAATGGGCCAGAAACTCAGCATTCTTTGAATTCCTTGTTATAGCTCCAACAACAAGTGGCATAAACTCATCAATATGCTTGAAGAAATCCTCCCGGATGTCACATGCTAAATTAGCCACCAGACTACAAAGATATAATACAATATCAAGAACTAACTCTAAAGCCGGTGGTAAACAGGCATCACCCAACTGTTCCCAAAATAATTTCAACTCCTTACATATAACATCCTTAGGAAAAATAGGACCAACAATAGAAGACCTACTTGATGGAAAATAATTAACTTTAGGGATAATACGTATGGAGCGATTTTTCTTCGAAATGCAACTAAAAAATACAGAAGATGTTGGACGACTTACGGAACTGTTCACTTGAGCTACTATCTGTCCACTTCTCAACAGCTGAAGCAAAATAACTATCTAAAGAATCCTGCGAAAGAGTATTATTATTGGTTGGATTTACTTCGCCATCAAAGTGATCGGTCTTAAATGATACAACAACCTTTTTCTTAATTTCATCTCTATATTTTACAAACTAAATTTTTAATAAACCAAATTCTTAACATACACGAAATGTGTTGTCAAGTTTCATAGCATGCCAATTAGTAACGCACGTCTTGACTAATGCGCTTCAATGTACTAGTATCCAATACCTTTTTCACCGGCTTGTACAAATCAAGTGAGATCTTTGCGCTCGATTTCTATTGTTTCGACATGATTACAGGTATTAGGCGATGTTCAATAAATAATAATCTGGCTGTACAACTGCAGTAATTCCGATCAGTACGTTAGCTGTTCACTGGCCAGGGATCTTGTTGTAACAGGGACTGACGATTAACCCACTTTTTGCGGTGATGGTAATATAAATTCAAATATTGATTTATTCGGGAGTTGATTTTATATGTTCGGTTACGCAGACAAATTTTATAAACGAGAGGCAGCGAAACGAAACGATTCGGAGATGGCAGATGTGCAAACTCCTTTATCCTTCTCAATTCAAGTATTACTATATAGTCGATGTTAGATAATTTATACTATGAAAAATAAACAAATACTAAATGAAATAATAAGTGACAGACATACATAGAGCATTCATATGAAATAAAGATATTGGAAGTGAGTCATCAATGGTTGGGAGATCTCTCTGTACTGCTTCTATGTTGGGTGGGTACAGTGAGGCTAGTCGATTCAACAGTTCTTCAAAGTTGCCAAGTGAAAGTGCTTCTGTGCCTCGAGACATCAGGGAATACTGAAATACTTTCATCCCATCCCAGTTACTCACCATGGTAATTATATCTTCTTCGAGTAGATCGTAACGGTCTTTGAACTTGTAGTGACTACAGTTTTATGAACCATTCATTACTGTAACCAACTGCACCAGTGATTATTATACTGAACCTCTTTGTTTATTAACTCTCTGTACGCCCAAACTTTCCGTTTGTGTTGCTGCCATTTAGGCTCCACTGTCTGTATAATTTCTCCCCTCTTTTCTGGCAGGATTTTGGTATTTTTGTAATACCACAAAGTCGTCAGCGATTACATTTCCTCCTATGGACCATTTTTAACTTTTCTGTGACAGGCACGTTATTGGTCTGTAGTGGTGATCATAGTTAACTTGGTAGGCCATTACAGACTTGTTGCTGAGGGCTATCGTGAATCCGTTGAGTTTGTCAGAATCCAGGACAAGGACTGCAAAAAATCTTGTTGTACTCTTCACCCAGTTGTTCAGTCCTTCAATAGTATCAGCCACATCTTTGCCACTACCAGGTGATGATCTGAAGCTGTGTCAGCAACTCTCTTGGTTCTCAAATATTGCGTAGTCCTTCTGATTATTCAACTGATGTACGTGTGATCTATTAGATTCTGTGGAACTTTGGTGCTTCCTATGAGCGGCTTTTTCATGGCACATAGATTTGCGAATTCTTCTCTATCTCTTATCAAATTGATCCGGTCATTGCATGAACATTTCTCTAAGATTGACTGTAGCCCACAAGGGTCTGATTTTGAATATCTCCATCATCTTTTTTACTAAATGATTAATTTGCGCTGGATTATTTTTTATCTCGGTAATATTAGAGGTAGTCTAGCCACTGTAGTACACTAAATCTAGTCTGTTGACAGTTATTTACGAGTTTGTCCCGGAAACTGAATGAGTACGGGTGTGTTCTTGTGATTTGAGTGAGTGCAGTGAGGTTTCTTTATACCATAAACTAATAGATTACTAGGCCAGAGGTCAGTTAACTACGTTGTGAATAAATACGAGGATAAAATTCTCATGCTAATGATAGGAGAAAGATTTCAGAACTAAGAAGCCAAATAAGTCACTGAACTGAATGCGAAGATCATACGAGAGCGAAACTGTAAGCAAGAAGAGGAAACGGAGATTATAAGCGAGAAAGAATAAGCTAATAATCTGAGGAAACGATAGTAATAACAACTGGCAAGTTTAGAGACATGCAGCTGGTGCATTTGTTCCTAGTGGCACATGGTATTCCGTAAATGAGCACTTGTTTCTTGAAGCTATCCACTCAAAGAGCCGTAGTCACTTCTGAAAACTCATAATGCGAAAATGGGTATATGAAACCTGGCGTTCTCTCTTTGATGTGCGGTTTTTCGAGGATCAGCTCAAGGAGCATGGTCGAGATGTTTTGGAATGCTGCTCCTGTTTGGATGGTTTGACCGACTTAATATGTTGAACGCCATTATCAGATCACCTCTCATTTTTCTGTAAATTATGGGGAATAATCCCAAGTGTTGGAGTGTGCCTTCATAAGGTTTGTTCTTTAGCAATATCACCAATGTAGTTGCTAGTCCCTGCCTTTGTTCCAGGAGGTTTAAGTTTCATATGGAGAGGGTGTGTGATAAGATTGTGAAATTCAAGATATCGTTGCCCGTATCTTTTACAGAGTTGAGAACTATTCTAGAACTAATCGCACAAAATTTTTTCGCACAGAGTAATGGTTTACTTTAGTCTCGTTTACACGCTCTAGTGAGACGTGAAGGAACGACCTTCCATTGGGGATGTAAGTTGTACGAGTCACTTTAAGCTTGATGTTCCTAACGTGGGATTTCGACTGGTTTAGTTTTTAACACTTCTCCACTACCCATTCGTCAATTGATGTAAGGTCCTTTTAAGCGAAGTTAATTCCTTACTTACTGACATACTTAAGACTGTTATCTCCAACATTTCCTAGACTACTCTGTAGTGAGCATTCCTTTTTAGATTCGTCTATTTTTTCTCTATTCCTCTAGTGTCCGTTTTCATTTCTCGGCGTATTGTGTTGATTGGTCTTCCCCTTCTTCTTTGGCCACGAGGATTCCAGGTGGGTACTTTACCTGTGACGCAGTTGGGAGCTTTTCTCAGTGTATGTTATATCCACTTCCAGCGCTTCTTTCGGATTTCTTCCTTCGCTGGAATCCGGTCTGTTTTATATTTCAGTACATTGCTGCTGACAGTGTCTAGCCAGCGATTCTGAAAAAGATTTCGTAGATGACTGTCAACAAACACTTGTACCTTCCAGATAACGGCTTTTTAGGTTCCTTAAGTAGAACTGTCTTGACATTTATATTGAAAATTCTGACTTTGGTGTTGGTTGTTTTTAGTTCCAGATGTGAATGTTTTTACGTCCTCCAAGGTGTCTCCATCTAGCGTGACTTGATTGGTTCGTGTTGCGTTATATCGGAGGATCTTGCTTCTACCCTTGCGTATGTTGAGTCCTAATGCAACTTAGGCTGTTATTACATTGATCGTCTTCTCCTGTATTTGTTGGTGCTTGTGCGATAGAAGAGCTAGATCATCTGTAAAGTCTAGATCGCCTAGCTTCATTCTAACAGTCTACTGTAAGCCATGCTTCCCCTCAGATATTGACGTCTTCGTAATCCAATCCATCGCCAGGAGAAAGAGAAAGGGTGAGAATAAGCAACTTTACCTGACACCTGCCTTCACTTGGAACAAGTCTGTTGGCAGTCCTCCACGTATGATGCTGACTATCTTCTCAGGTACACCGTAGTGTCTAATAGGCGTTCATGGTATCATCCTGTCCGCGATGTCAAACAGATCCTCGTGATCAATAAAGTTGATGTAGAGTGGTGAATGCTATTCAGTTGATTGTTTCATGATGATCTTTGCACATTTACGTAACCAATTCTTGCTATATGCAGACCTGGATTTATCTTGCATCGGTTTTCAACCACTAGTCGTTCTTCGTAATTTATCCGTCGTAACTAACGCCAGTTATAATATTGTACATTGCAGAGTCTGAAAAATTATATATAATTTTATGTGGAAAATTTTATCCGTCTATATAAAGTCCATGTAGTTTATGAAATATTTAAATAACTGAACAAACTTTTACAGAAAATATGTCGGCAACTTTAACATTATGGTCATGCCTGTAGACTGGCATGCCTCTTGCAACATGTTATTTTTAGAATAAATTATAATTATTATCGTTTCGATTTGGTGGCTCTACAATCTATTATTACTGAATCCAGCGTCCTGATCTCGAAGCTGGGAGTCTATTAAATCTTTCGGTTTAGCATCACTCTGTTGAAAAGTTTTCCTGGCACTGACTGAAGAGTGATGCCTCTGTACCTCTCTAAATTGCTGAAATTGTCTTTCTCTGATATCTTCAGGCGGTGTCCTTTTTTCAGTCTGTTGTTGCTTGTTTTTCACCCCACATCCTGCTGGAAAGAATGAGAAGCATCTGTGCAGTGACTGCTTCATCAGCTTTCAGTAACCCTACTGGAATGTCGTCTGATCCTGCCGATTTGCTGATCTTTATTTGTCCGATAGGAATGCTGATTTCTTCAATTGTTGTTAGGCCAACTTTAATTTGGAGGTCCGTGAGTTCTGCTTCGAAGTTGGGTGGGTTTGTTGGGGCTGGTAGAGACAAGAGATCCTAAAAGTGCTCTACCAACCAGTTTGACTGTTTCTCAATGTCGCTGTTTATTTCGACATTCTTGCTTTACACTGGTCATTTTGGTTTACGATAAACCAGTCAAGTCCTCGTGGCAATTTATGGACCTTTCGATCTTTGCATCGTCTGTGTAGATCAAGGCCGCAAAGCTAATTTCATCTAACAGATCATTGATGAATATCAGGAAGAAGAGGAGCGGACCTAAGAAAGTGCCTTGTGAAAATCCTGATATTGAGACTCGCTGGCTAATATGCTGTCTATTTAACTTGGCACATTACAATCTGTTCTCTAGGTAGCTTCTCAGCGAAGATTTAAGTGGGACAGTGAAGGCTCTTTTCGAAACATCGGAAATTAGGAGTTCGTTGGGTACTGTAAACACTACCGGCGAACTAACAAATATATTTTATCACAACATGACCAATATCTTTAATGAAAACGCATCTTTAGAATCCTGGAAATTTCTACGAACTTATATATGCCAGATCATAATCGAAATTGTCTTCTGTTAAATCACTAGTGTTAACTTCAGTCTGTAAAAATATTAACAAGGCGATTAGTACACTGAGACACTCTAACACCGAAGGAGCAGACAGTATTCCAGCTAGCATACTGAGAAATCGGAGCAGTGATCTGTGTGTTATACTTATAAACATTACCCAATTAGTATCTAGGG